CGAGTCGCCGGCCTTTTCGCTTCAGTTCTTCGCCGCGGTATCACGAACTGATAAACGGCCACAGCTTTCCCGCTTATCAGTAGAGTTACCGGGTGACCGCCATGACTATCCGGTTCACCGGCTTAGCGCACCGGGCGACCGCTTTGCTTTCCTGGAGTTCCGGTAATGCCCGGTATGACCGGAGCCACAGTCCAATACACCAGTTAGGGCAACCGCTATGAAGCTACCGGGCTCCAGACTAAGTAAACCGGTCCCGGTAAAACACTCCGGGCCGTCGCTATGGCGTCACCGGGAATCTGGACAACGTACACCGGTCCCGGTAAAGCTACTCCGGGCCGCCGCTATGACCGGAGCCACAGTCCGGTACACCAGTTAAGGCAACCGCTATGAGGCTACCGGGGCTCCGGGCTAAGTAAACCGGTCCCGGTAAAGCGCTCCGGGCCGCCGCTATGGCGTCACCGGGACTCCGGAGAACGGACACCGGTCCCGGTAAAGCTACTCCGGGCCGCCGCTATAATGCTATCGGGCCTCCGGTCTAAATATACCGGACCGGTATGATCCGGTATAACTTCATATGGGTTTTTTCAGTAGGGTCTGCCCCGTTTTTTCAAAGCTGCCGCTTCTTCCGCGTCTTGCTGACACTTCGCTTTCTTAGGAATTTTTTTTCTGGAATTCTGTTACGGCTGTTGAGTAACCAGCCGTAACAAAAGTGAAAGCCGTTTACAACTCCCTGTAACGCCGAATTAGAGCGCAGCTCTTGAGGAGCAGGAGGGAAGGGTACTCAGGTTCACGTGTTATCGGGGGGGAGGGGTGGTCACGTGACCTTGGAGGGGTCACATGACCCCCTCGCCAAGGTCACGTGGGGGTCACGTGACCTGGCTGTGTCACGTGACCTCGGGGGGTCACCTGACCTGAAGATAAATTTTTCCGCTAGATTCAGCGGGGAAAATTTTCCGCTAGATTTAGCGGGGAAATTTTTCCGCTAGATTGAGCGGGGAAAATTTTCCGCTAAATTTAGCGGGGAAATTTTTCCGCTAGATTTATAGATTTAGCGGGGAAATTTACCCATAATGCACCGTGCGGTTACGCCGACGGCGACGGCGACGCCGACGCCTCTCAAGCCGGAAACGGGCGCCTAAGAGCTGCGCTCTAAAAACGAGCCATTGTCTTGCTTTTAGCCAATTACGTGGCTTGGCGCGGCTGAGCTGCGACAGGAACGCGGAGGGAGGGGGGCAGGCATTGTTCAGTACGCCTTGAGCCAAACGCATGGGGGCTCAGCATATTACCCAGAACCCCCAGCGAAATGTCAGCGGATGCTCAAGCCCCGTTGACCTCCCAGTTCCGGGGTCCCTGCCTTCGAGGGTAGTGCGGCTGTTGAGTCGCAAAGCATCAGCGTCGCTCGTCAGCTCGGCACCGCGACTCGGAGAGATGAATTTTCCGCGGCCCCACTAATCGTGGCATCGTCCCACGAGCCCGCGGTCTACTTCGAGCCACCGTCGAGACTGCTGCTTCCACTGCAGGCAACTACGGTGCACAGCGTGCAGTCGATCCCCTATGCCTGCAGTCTGCCAGACGCCAGCCCACTCTAACCTCAGCGGTTATCGGACGCTACCTCAGCCCTCATTACCACTCTCGGTTCAACCTCGCCTGCCTCTCGTCCACAGGAAACGCTTTTGGGGGGAGCTTGTCAACTTTCAGGTATAAAAAATGTAGCGTTGGTACCTCATGCTGTACTAAATCATTAGTTGATAGTAAAAATGTCAATTGATAGTAAAAACCTTTGGATAGCTGATGCTCCAATAAAGTTCAAAAGCAGTCAACTACTCAAAATTAAAACGTCAGTTCATAGTAAACGTTTCTCCTGTCCTGCTCTGTCACTTGCCCTTGTTTGCGTTATATGATTTTTGTACTGAAATCACTCCTTGACCCATTCCATTATGGTGAACCGGAAAATCCCCGACGCTTCGTCATGCAGACGTTTCCCACTGGCCAAAAGGCCACAGCCAATTGGCACGATTTCTCATCAAGGGAAAATCGCTCATATTCTAGCGGAAGACCCCGCTATGCGCGTATATCTTATGTCCAAAGGTCGGGCGGTTCGAAAGTGAGCAAACTATCATTAGGCACCGCAAGGCGAGTCAGACAGCCGACCCCGGTGTGAATATCGGTGACCGGAGTAACCTCGTAATTAATCCTGTCAGACTTGGTCTGGCGTTGCGGTTGCACCATGTCCGTCAGCATGCGGCCGTGAATGTCTACACCCATGCGAACAGTGCTATCGAGAGCCACCGGATTTTCCCCTTCCGAAGACCACCATTTCGATTCCCTCGCCTCAAAACGCATGTTCGAAACATCGTGTTTTAAGGTACGCCTATCTCTCGAGGTCGCCCACGACGGCAAGTGCTTATTCTAACGCTTCGCTGCGAGCTGAGTCCCTCTGGTGCTAACGGCTGGCCCACGCAGTCTTCGTCGATTTCTACACACGGAACCTGTAACAAAAATATTAAAAAAGCCGAGCTACTAGCCCAGGCTCTATGAAGAAAAATGTGAAGGTTGGTGTTCTTCTATTCATTATAATTATGTAATGGGTTTTATTATATCGATTCGAGTGACTATTAAAACTTGCTAGAAGAAGGCCTTTTAGGGTTTGGAGCCAAACCCTGCGATTCAACTCTGTGCTGTTGTCATAGAAGTTAAAGCGAAAATAAATAAGCATTGTTTTCTCAGTTTTGTGTCTTTTCGTTTTTAAGTCCCTTGTTTCGTCTTCGAGTTCTTTTGTTTGTTAGAACTGGATAAGCATGTGTGTATTTGATTTATGCCAATTGTGTCGCTTTTTGGTGTATTCGACACTAATCTAGCTTGCTGATTAATATGTCCGATATCGTGTGTGTAGAGAAGGGGGGTGGGGGGGGGGGGGGTGCATTTGGTATCTCAGGCGATTAATTACCTTTTGGGACGGCTCCCCAGACAATTGTATGTCTGGTCTGTTATCAGAACAGACCACATCGAACTTTTAACTTTCGAAATCTTAATGTTTGTTAGTACTCTCTTAGGCAACAAACAATATAGGATGAAACAGTTCGAATGACGACCTCTTTCTCGGGACTGCTTATGAAGAAAAGTGTCATTACAGTGATTTCATTTCTGTTCAAAGACACGCTAGTTGTTTTGAGATGGTGTTTCTGAAATGTTTTCCTTCTTTCCAGGCGTTCATGTTTCACAGGAAGAGCACTCATGTGCTCTTTTTTGGGATAAGCCGTCCTGTCCAGTTCGACTGGTCCTCATCCTTAGCACTGTTTTTGTTTCAATAATTTTTATATAACTATCCCACAAGTGTATTTTATTACACTGAAGTGGTCCTTGTATTTGTGGTTATTGGTTATGCGTTTCTTGATTCTTTTAAAGTGATAGCTTTAAGGGTTCATTATTCTCAAGCCGCGTAAGAGCGAAATGTGTAGGTCGTTCAGTCAGTAACCGTAAAATGATCTTGAGAAGAACGGCAAACGTGGTGCCAGGGATCGAACACAGGTCACAAGCATGGAAGCCGAGTGTTCTACGGACTGAATTACAGACCCAGCACGTAGAAACGGGAGGAACAGAAGCAGGAGTCGTAAGAAAGCGCGCGGAGCGCAGAGGGGTGAAAAGGGCAAGAGAGAAAGGAGCAGAAAAATGTAGTGTAAAAATGGCAGAAAAACGCGAGGAAGGAGGAGGGGGAGAAAGGGCAGAAACGCGCGCTTTTTATTTTTTGTGACCCCGAAAATTCGGCACAGAAGCTTTGACTCCAGGTTGTCCTAAAGGGAAGGGCATGCAGCGTCACAGAGATGATAGTGTGACGTAATCAGTTTTCATGCAACCTTGCCCTAGGCACCACCTGAACTAAAAACACCATCAACCCCAGGCACTGAAACGCTAGAGGTTACCCTGTCCTAGGCACCACCCGTACTAAAAGCACCACCCGCCCTCAAGGAGGTGTCACACTGCTTATACATCATTCAAAACACAGCCTGTATACAGATTCGAACGCGAGTCACCACGAGACCCATGCTTCAACTGCCGCATTGGAGCGATTTCAAGGAGGAAACTTTGCGCGCGGCATTCTAACCACGGATATTGCGTTAATTCGTGTTAGCAGGCTGTCTTTTGCATGATGTAGGAGCTGTGCGACCTCGGCTTTAAAGCTAAAGCAGAATGCTCAAACATGCAGCGAATTTTCCCCCCATATTTAAGTCTTGACACTGGTCCCAAGGGCCACCAGTAATGTGAATTAATCCGCTGAAAAAAAGTCTGTAGATGAGGCAAAACTGAATTGTTCGCAAAGCATTCTCGCTATCGTAAGTGAAACTGTTATGACGAGATGTGCCAGTAGTGAAAATTACGGCACATGCTGTGTCGGCCATTGCGGCGACTAAAGACGGCATGTTGAAAATCGGCAGAGTAAATTATATTGAATGCGAAGCGGGTATGAATATATCGCTTGTCTCGTTCAAGATTAATGCAAACTTTTGCGGCAAAAAAAAAAAACGCATCCTTTGCGACTTTTTGTTGTCATTCTCGTTGACAGCGATAGATGCTAAAAATAGCCAAAACCTTTTTTTTTAAGTTTGTTCGAGACTGCAGCTTGCTCTGGTCTACAATGTTCATGTATATACTATTATAGTGAAAATATATTTATTAACCTCTGAAACCTCACACAAGATGAAGTAAGTTTATTGGAAATCAAAACTTAATTAAGCTTCATAGGAAACTTGTATATAGAATTTTGCTCTACTCCGTTTCTGGTGCCCAGGCAGCGCTGGAAGTGAAGATGTGTCTCTGTGACAGGACACTGGCATTTGTTAATCGGCAACAAGCTATATAAATCAGGCATGGCGCTCCTTCTGCTAATACTTTATTTCTGGCACTTCTGGGGACGTGATTCAGACAGTTCGATCAATCTATGTGTGCCTTGTAGCAAGGTAGCTCTGTCGGGCACTCATAGTTCAATAATCGTGGGGCGGCACCTATTGCCCTGCACCCGTTGAACGTGGGTACCCTGACCGATACTGCCACCATCTTGAATTGTTCGCCCTTCGTCTCGGAGTTTTAGGTCGTGGCCCATACGTGGTTGTCGTCCTTTCTGTCGGGGTTGTTGTCGATGATTGAGGTAAAACGCGGTTAGGTGGCGCCCTCCTAGGTGCCTGGTGCGCCAACTTCGGAATGCATTTGTGTTTGACGCAATGCTGAAACACCGAAAAAATAACTTTTAGACAGTGCTGTACGCGTTAGGGAAAAAAAGTAACGAAATACGTTATTCCTTACTTGCAATAAAAAGTAACGCGTTACACACCTAGGTTACTCAAAATAAAAAAAAAAAGTAGTTACCGTTACCGATAAAAAGTAACGTACGTTCCTTTTCTGCTACTTTGTTTTTAGGAATTACATCATTTTATTTTCGAAATAACTAACGTAAGTACGTTATTTATTACTGGTATAAAATGTAACGAGTACATTACTACGTTACATAAAAGTGTAACGTGTTTCCGGTAGCGCCGTTACGTGTAACACGTTTCCGCCAACAGCGATTTGAGATCGTGACTTAGTGCAGTATATTATGACTTAATTCATGGCCTCCTGGCTTTCCGCCGCTCCAAGGACCCCACAGGGACTCTAGTCTATCTAGGTATAAGAGGGACTTCAGCGAGGTGATATCGCAGTGTGAAATAAGCGTTGCCATTTGTTACCTGCGCTCACAAAGTCGCTTGAGGAAAGGCGCCGTCTAAACAATTTAGATAAGATACTGTTGTTCCAAAAGAAAATTATCAAATTTACATGAAACGTTTCATACGGCATCCGCACTGCAGGTCTGTTCAAACAGTGTAATGTTATAACACCTCACAATCTGTACGATGACAAGTGTAATGCTTGTTAAGGACACCTTTGTTTCTGACAGGTTTTCCAATGCTGGTAAAAAAGTTCAAACCCCTCCCATCCGTCACGATTGAAATTGGGAGGTCACTGAGGCGTGTTTACTACAGCACCCCCCCCCCTCTTTTTTTTTAAATTTCACTCGCAAACCAAGCAATGTGACTTACAGAAAAAACGCGCCAATCAGAGTATTGTAATTGGCCCTGTTGACTTGGGAGCCGTTTACCTGACAAGTTGTTTTACAATTTTTTCCGGCCTCCAAATAACAGTAATTGTGTTTTATTTTATTGAAACCCACTGTTTTCTTTCTGTTTTCTTGAACAGCCGGCGAAAGAGTGGAATCGTTGAAGTCTGCTGTCACTGAATCGATGACTCAATCTCGCGTTTCAAACAGACGTCATTTTGGCGTATGATCGCCTTTTTGGTGGGACTTTCGTTCTTTCTAATTGAATACTGGTTTCGGATGCTGACTCAAAAGTTGTTATTTATTTAAGCCCCGCGCCGGATACCGGTAGGTAAAGGAGAAAATGCAGCATACGCTATATGTTATAGCAATATTATAGCGGTAGCTGTTAGTGGGATACTTTGGACTTCATATCGACGCGGGTCATTTTCAAAACTCAGCCAAAATGTTCCACGGTCCGCTGAAAACAAGATAACAAGCAAGCAGGATAACATGCATGGTGTGTAAAACCGTCCCCGTCGGGCAATCTAGCAGAGCACTAGGAAAAAGCAGGGCACTAGGAAAAAAAAAACAATTCTTTGGAGTTACACAGATAAGACTGCCTTAAAATGTTTGATGCATTCTGTACCAAAAGCAATGGGAAATCAAGCGCATTAGTGCCATGTCAATGCACCTCACAGATATGAGTTTTATTTTCTAAACGAATACCCAGAACGATGGTAATAATAGTGTGTGTTTGTTTCAATAAACCTTCATTCGAGAGTGCACTTCGCGGAATCGCGGAATAAACGGGCACTTCCGTGCCCGTTTATTCCGCGATTTCGTTTAACATGTTTAACTATATGTACCTAAGTAATGCACGAAAATCCGCTCCCCTTTTATGCATAGAGCTGAAATGGTCTCTACTTAATATACCCTAATTGGTTCAAAAATGCTGTGGATTTTTTATCCCGTGTTTTACTCAATTAATACAAATATGTTGCGCGCCAGCAATTTTACCGTTGTTTCCGCACATCTCCGAAATCGCACCTTAACGGCGTCAACGTCAAACCTCAGCTGTTCCTGTGTTTTACCCTATGGGTTGCGTAAGTGCTCATTTTTTATATATATAAGGAGTTGACATAATCCGCTCAGTCAAGACTGACACTAAAACGGGAATGTTTCTTGCGTGCATCGCTGGAGACTACGGCGAAGTGCTATATAATTTTGACGTTTCTTTTTTGTGTAGGCCATATTCTGCTGATTAGATTCAGACCAAATCTTATGTCCCTAGCCAAACACTGTTCCCTTGCGAGGCGTCCTGAAGAAGAGCTTTTTTTTTTTTTTGGTGCGGCATTATGAAGACTTCCATAACACTTCCAGCAAGTATATGAATGAATGGATGGTATTAACTATACGGCTTTCCATCGGGCTGTAGCTTGTGCTACTTTGCGTAGAAACAGTTACGCACGTCCTGTTTACACTTTGCTCCAAATTACGCACAAAAGGACACGGACGACAAAGAAAAGACATAATCAACACAGACACATCCTAACCCTTAGGTGAATGAATCCGGATTTTGGTCATGCTCTACACGACATTCACCTCTTTATACTCACAATAAACCCACCTTAGAAACTAGCCTATTGTCAAGGTTGCGCCGTTGATAGAATCGATGTAATAATACGGAGCGCGAGGCCGGTGTCGCAGGCTTAAAGTCCCTTGATACTTCTTTTTACAAGTAACGACAACCAATACGAATGGCGAAGCACATTGCGTTTGAACAACATGACGTCATTCAGTTATGTCTTCTGCGGTGCGCCGCCATTCGCTTCCCAAACTTTGCACCGTCACGCAGTCGGCGCTTCAAAAAATGTCGCTACTTGTTGGATGCTCTTATCTAGGAACTTTAGGCTGGCGGCGGAGAAAGCTCGGCACAGACGCAGTGAGTACCAGAGTGAGTGCATGCCGTGTGTCGTCTGCTTCTGCACCACTTTTTCGCTCACTGCGCCTGCGCCGTAGCGTGCAGTAGCAGATGACGCGCGTCTAGCACCACTTATGGCGCTCACTGCGTCTGCGCCGAGCTTCTGCGGGCGCCAGCAATCGGCGCAGGTGGCGCCACGCGAAGCGCCGATTACGTATTCCTACAAATTCCTGCGTACCAACCAGAAATTATACCGTCTTGTGATTTAGTACACTCAATGGCGTGTTAACGCAGTTGTCACCTAAAGTTTTAATAAAGGAAAGCCGCCATACTTTTATGTAGTTCTACGTTCGCTGATATCTAGTCGGCAGCTTATCGTAGAACAATCCTTATTATAAAATCGGCTAAAAACAGCCTCAAATTCTGCTGGTTACGTTTCTATCTCTTTTGTTTTCATTTATGGCAACGTTACTAGAACCCTCAGTTGGGAAACTCAACGTTGAAACCTGGGCCACTGGCGTCCACGGAGACCGAGCTAAATGCGACAACAGCGCCACTCTTTATCATTTATCTCTAATGTGGTCACCTTTAGCTTTTAGAAAGCATGTTTTTGCGTTAAAATCAACCAAAAAAAACTATTTTTCTAGTAAATTTTATTAGATTTAAGTACGAAATGAAGGGCGCGTGATTTTTTCTAAAATATTTTGTTTGCAAGGTTTCGCGACACAATCATTGTTGTTTTAGACAACCATGCTACAGCGGCGGTTTCAGGTAGCGCGCCCCGACCTAGGCGCATTTTAACTTCTGTAGTAATTCGCGGCGCGTCCACTTGGGACATGGGGGCGGCACCCCTGAAACCCCTTCCATCGTATTTGTTTCGGCGCCGAAATGGACGATTAAAGCCACAATAGACGTAACGTGCAGTTCCATGAGTGTCCGCTGCGGGAGGAATGGCGGCGCTGTGATCGCCATTAGCTCGGTTCGCGAGTACGAACCGGTGCCACTTTTTCGGAGCAGTCTCTGTGGCAGTTTCCCAACTGGTTGGTTCTAGTAACGTTGAGTTATGGGAATGCATATTCTAAAAAAAAAACATAGCGCAGTCTTTTCGAAAATATTAGGGACTGTCTTTAGTTACAAACGGATATTATGCATAAAATACTGCAGTTAAGGAGCGATCGTTTACATTTGTTTAGAAGACATTTAAACAGATGTTTCTGGAAGCGAATAACCTAGTTTTTAAAGTTTCCGAAAAAAAGACTGACCTCACATGCGAATAGGCTGCAAAAAATCGAAGAATTTCGCCCGGCGGGTTTCACTCTGCGCATGGCATCGACACAATGGCTGCTGAGGCGCGCGAAGCGAGCTCGCCGCCGGGCAAAGTGTGTCAGTTATTTGTCGAACATTCGATTCAAGAAGTTCAGCCTAAAGACATTCCGTCAAATGCAATGAAGGTGCAATAGCACTTGATGGAGCTGGTCGATGGGGCTTGCTCTCGTTGGTCGCACGGTGAGCGGGCACCGTAGGAGGGAAATGGTGGGAAGTGGAGGTATAGATGGGCGAGGGAGAAGGAGAAAGAGGTGAGTGGGGAAGTATAAGCGGTGTCATGTGACGTGATCTGTGTAAATCACGTGAAGTCGGGTCAAGTAGCATCAATTTCCCCGCTAAACTTAGCGGGGAACTTTATTGGTGTATAGGTCACGTGACGTAAATTTTTTCCTATATTTAACGGAAAACGCACGGACGGATAGACAATTTTTTGCGCTCTGGAGTTTCGTTAAAAAAATGAAAGCCGTTTACAACTCCCTGTAACGCCGAATTAGAGCGCAGCTCTTGAGGAGGAGAAAAGAAGGGTACTGAGGTTTACGTGTTATCGAGGGGGGCTCACGTAACCTGGGAAGCGGTCACGTGACCTTGGTGGGGTCACATGACCCCCTCCCCAAGGTCACGTGGGGGTCACGTGACCTGGGGTGTCACGTGACCACGGGGGTCACGTGACCTCGGGGGGTCACGTGACCCCCTGAGAAACTTTTCCGCTAGACTTAGCGGTGAAAATTTTTCCACTAGATTTAGCGGGGAAATTTTTCCGCTAGACTTGGCGGGGAAATTTTTTCGCTAAATTTAGCGGGAACATTTTCCCGCTAGATTTAGCGCGAAAATTTTTCCGCTAAATTTAGCGGGGAAATTTTTCCGCTAGATTTAGCGTGGAAATTTTTCCGCTAGATTTAGCC